GGAAGGAAGGACGGGAGAAAGGAAGAGAGGGAAGGAGGGAAAGGAGATGAGAGAAGGAAGGAAGGATGACAGGAAGATGGGAGAGGGAGGGAGGAAGGAAGGAAGGGAAGAAGAGATGGAGGAAGGGAGGGAGGAAAGGAGGAAGATGGGGCAAGAGGGAGAGAAGGAAGGAAGGGAGAGAGGGGAAGATGAGAAAAGGAAGAAAGGATGGAAGATGGAGGAAGGAAGGGGATGAGAGAAGGAAGAAGGGATGGAAGGAAGGAAGAGATGGAGAAAAGGAAGAAGAAAGGGGTGGGAGGGAGGGAAGGGAGGGAGGGAGAGCAGGAGGGAAGGAAGAAGGAAGGGGAAAAAGAGAAGAGAGAAGGATGGAAAGAAGGAAGCTGGAGGGAAGAAGGAAGCGGATGAGAGAAAGAAGAAAGGATGGAAGGAAGGAAGTTGGAGGGAGGGAGGAAGGGGATGAGAGAAAGAAGAAAGGAAAGAAGAGATGGAGGAAGGGAGGGAGGAAAGGAGGAAGGTGGGGCAAGAGGGAGGGAAGGAAGGAAGAGAGGTAGGGGAAGAAGAGAAGGAAGAAAGGAAGATGAGGGAGGGAGGAAGGAAGGAAGAAAAGAAGGAAGAAAGGAAGATGGGGGAAGGAAGGAAGGAAGGACATTTCAGCACACCCAATCTTTCCTTTTTCCGTGAAAAAACAACCACACACTCTTCCGTTATTACAGAACCCTATAATATCCCCCTTTTTAAAAAAAACAACAACCCCAAAACCCCAAATATGAACTGCCCCGAGCTGTTCCCACCCACAGGTCCCGTTCCTCCCTGGTCCTCCAGCAGATCTGGAATCTGTCCGCGTCCCCAGATCCAATGGCTGAAGCTCATCCCGAAGCCGCCTCGGGGTGTGTGTGTGACCGTGAGTGAGCGGACCCCCCCAAACCGACTTTCGCTCAGCACGGAGAACCCAAAAACTCTTCCCTCCCCCGAAAGACACGCCTGCCCCCCCCGTGGCCTCACCTGGATGAGGGACACGGTCCCGTCGGGGTTGCTGAAGGTCTGGACCATCGTCTGGGAGGGAACCAGGTGGGCGATGCTGTGCGTGGCCGTCACTGACTGAGTCTGCTGGTCTTCGAAAGCGTAGAGCAGGTCCTCCCGCCCGTGCTGCTTGTAGCAGTTCTTCACGATCGTCCGTAGCGCCTGGGTCCAAGACACCTGAGGCCAGGTGAGGAGGAAGAGGAGGAGGGGGGGAGGGGAAAAGGATCAGGAGGACGGAGGGATCCGGCCGACAGGTTAGCCAACAAAGCCGGACTTGGGGTTCATGGCGCCCAGAGGACCGTTCGGCGGTTCGAATCTCACCAGGCTCAAGGTGGATTCGGCCTCCCGTCCTTCCGAGGTCGGCTAAGGGCTATTGCTACCCCTCCCCTTCCTTCCTTCCAGGGTTGCAATGCAGCATTGCAGGCTGACTCTGCCCACCGCCAGCAGTTCGATCCTGACCGGCTCCAGGTGGACTCAGCCTTCCGTCCTTCCAAGGTCGGTAAAATGAGGACCCAGATTGTTGTGGGGGCAACAGGCTGACTCTGTAAACTGCTTAGAGAGGGCTGGAAAGCACTGGAAAGTGGTGTATAAGTCTAAGGGCTCATTGCCCTTCCTTCCTTCCTTCCTTCCTTCCTTTCCCGTTAAGAGTGCAGTACTGTAGGCTAACTCTGGTGTTATCAGGGCGATCATCGCTGGCAAGAAAGTTTTGCTCTTTTAGTTTTTTGACTGCCACCTTTGAATGGCGTGCAAATGTTCCTTATCTCTATGTGCCCGTTGATGGCTGATGCGTCTGAGGAGGCGGCTTGCAGAAATTCTCTAGCATTTTTTCAGCTTGCCTTGGTCTGGGGTGCTCACCGTTCTCCGGTTAAAACTATAGCGGGGATGTTCTCCTTTTGTGGGGTAAAATTAAGGGGTTTTTATTTTTTTATTTATTTATCATTTGTCAAAAACGAAAACACGAATAATATAAAAATAAAGTGATAGGAACAATAGGCCCGTTAAGCACTCTTTTGCATGCCCCCTTTACAGACCTCTTAAATGTGAAGTGAGGTCAACTTGTGACTAAAACTGAAAATTGGTAGCTGAGACACCGAATCAGGTGGAGTATTCCAGACTTTTGACAACTCTATTACAAAAACCGCATTTTTTTACAGCCAAGTTTAGAACAGTTTACACGGAGTTCGAAGCAGTTGTTTGCGCACGTATTTACAGGTAAAACTTTGCTATGTCTAATTTTGTTTGCAATACCTACGTCCAACCGCAAGCGATCCAGGTTATCCAAGCCAAGAATTTCGAGGCTACTAGCGTAGGGATTTCGATGGTGTACAGAAGAGTGCAAACCCTTTCTCGCAAAGTACTTCTGAACCCACACAATTGTGCTAATATCCGATATCGGGTAGGGATTCCAAACAGTTGAACAGTGCGCCGGGGTTTTCATCATGTATTCTGAGTGATTTTTGTTCTTACCTGAGTTCCTAGGCCTCACCGTGGGCCAAACCTAAGAAGGACTCGTCACTGACAGAAGGAAGATGGCGTTCAAGAACTCACCCTCTGTTTTTGCTCCTCTGTCCGGACATCACTGCGGACGTTAGCCCAGGGAATGTCCTCTGGCCACCAAATCGGTTTGCAGCTCTCCTTCCCCCAGCCTGGCTTTCCGCGACCCGTTGAGTATTTCAGCATTTCAGGGATGAAAGCCCTCAGCTGCGCCTGTGGCATTAAGGGGAAAATAATCATAATAATAATAACAATAACAACAACAACAACAATAATAATAATAAAGAAGAAGAAGAAGAAGAAGAAGAAGAAGAGGAAGAAGAAGAAGAAGAAGGGGAAGCAAAGGCCTGCATCAGGTAGTCCTTGAATGTTATATGTAGAAATTACATATTATGAGTTACACCTGTGGAAATGAAGAACAGAAGGGAAGCTATACTTATCCGATACGTGAACTATGCAATGATTATTGGACAGTTATATAACTATATCTAATAAACATGTTCAGTTTTGTAACTTGTTATGTTCTAAAGTAAGGCTTTTGGGTAGAACATGGACCTGTACTTCTTGGCATAAAGATATGTGTAGGAGATACCAGGTTATCCCTGACTTGAAAGGAACTGGGTAATGATCTATTGTCTTACAGATGGTCATAACAGGACCATAACAGGAAGAAGAAGCCATGAGAACGAGGGTGGTTTCCAAGGACAAGGAAACAGGTGTTATGTTACAATAATATTGGTGTTGCGCAGGGAGATACGTAGCTTGAATAGATTGTGAACCCAGGAAAGGGGCAGAGACTGTATATCTGAACCTGTATATAAACCCCAGCCTTCCTGGGAACAATCTCTTCTGCCCATGAGCAGAATTCCCTTTTGCAAAAGCTTAATAATAAAGCTCTTGTTCACATATCTCCAGTTGTTTTGTGATTATTATCACATCGAACTTACAAGAATTCATTACAACGGTGCCGAAAGAAGCGATTTGTGAACATTTTTCACACTTACGACCTGTCAACTCATAAAATATTTCTCTGGTCTTTTTAGAGTTGCCAATACCCATTCGGTCAGAACTGAAGCAGCTTCTTGGATGAGAAGCGAAATGTCTTCAAGGAAATAAAAGGGAAAATTCAGTTGCCTTTTGGAAAAAAAAAAACACCTTTGGGGCAGGATAGGAAAAATATTGAATGCTTTCGAAGTCTGGAGTTGGAGAAGATTCTCAAGGATACCAAAACATAGCCAGCAAGGGACCATCAACCAGATCGATCCACAGTTCTCACTTGAGATATGTTTCTGCAGCTGTTCTTCAATCCTTCTAGACTTCCCATAAAATAGCTATTTACATTTTGCGAATTGCATTGGAAATCCTTGCCGGATGAACCGTGGAACCTTCAAATGTTGTGCGTCATGTACAACGATGCTGCACAAAATGAAGATTATTTTTTTTTTAACCCACGGGGAAATGCTGCCGTGTTTAGGGTGTATTTATCTGCAGAGTCGCTGATTCTGGCCTCTGAGAGTTGCATCATCCTCTACAGGACTCTGCGGTGTTTTTCTTCACGGAGAAACACACCGTTATTAAGGGGTGCGTTTGCCCTCCAGGATAGATATCAAGTGAGGGAAGGCTGGAGATTTGGCCCCAACTTAGCACCCCAGGAATTGAATGATCAATGTGTCATGTGTCATGAAGTTGGTGTTGGCAAGGAAGTTTTTTTTTGGTCTTTTAGCTTTTGCATTATCTGTTTTGAATGGTGTGTACATGTTGCTTATCTCTATGTGCCCGTCGATGGCTGATTTGTCTGATTGCCACGCACTGAGGAATTCTCTACCATGTTTGGACCTGGCTCGGTCAACGATGCTCCTATCGACCACACTGATAGATTTGGCTCTAATTAAGGATATCGGCGGATCAATTGATTGATTATGTGGCACGAAGTTAAGTGTTGGCAAGGAAGTCTTTTTAGTTTTTGGATCATCTATTTTGAATGACGTGTACATGTTGCTTATCTCTATGTGCCCGTTGATGGCTGATTTGTCTGATTGCCAGGTGTCCAGGAATTCTCTACCATGTTTGGACCTGGCTCGGTCTACGATGCTCCTAGCGACCACACAGATAGATTTGACTCTAACTTTGCAGAAACAGACTTCAGGAATTGATCAAAGAAAGGTTCTCATTTGCCCAGGTCAGGTCTTCCAACAGTGCGTCCATCATACCTCGACCCCCCCACTGCTTCAAAACTCATTGAATTCAGTTTTCAATATGTTTTGAAACTGAAATCTTATCCCGGCCATCATCTTCCTCCCTGTATTCGACGTACAAGGAAGAACTTGTGACTCGCTATGTCTTCTGGCTGAAATAGCAGGACATGGGTCTGAAGCGATTCTCAGTCATCCAGGTCACGGTTGTCCCAAATGTGCCTTTTTCAGGAGGCAACTAAACTCTGGGTTGATCGTCTAATCGTCCATCTGTTTAATGTCTGCAAAGGTTTTAGTTTGTCCAGGTCATAGTTTTCCGCCAGTTAGTCAGAACCGAAGAAGCTTCTTAGATGAGAAAGTGAAAGGCCTTAAAAGAAAAACCAGAAAGTCCGGGTTGCCTTTAAAATAAAAGCCCCTTTGGGAGATCCATTTGTTTGTTTGCTTGGCTGTCTGTGGTCTTCTCAAGAAACTTCTCCAACACCCAAGTTCAAAAGCATCAATAGAGGTAGTTCCTGATTTACAACCATTCATTTAGCGACGAAGTTACCACAGCCCTGAAAAAAAGGCGACTTATGACCGCTTTTCACGCTTACGACTGTTGCAGCAATTCCCCACGCCCTCACGGGATCAAAATTTGGATGCTGGGCAACTGGTTCGTCTTTATGACAGCCGCAGCGTCCCCGGATCCCCTTTTGCGACCTTCTGACAAGCAAAGTCAAAGGGGAAATCGGATTCACTTAACAACCGTGTTATTAGTTTGACAACAGCAGGGATTCAGTTAACAACGGTGGCAAAAAAAAAAAGGGCGTAAAATGGGGGGGAAAGCCTCAACCGTTGGAAATTTCTGCCTCAATTACGGCCAACCTGTGTGCTCTTCCGATCCTGCTTCTTCGAAATTCAATTCTTGGTTCCACAGAGGGTAACAGGCGATATTCTGAGTCTTACCCTGAGAATATGTGGCTGCGAAATGATGAAATCTGATAGCATGATTGTGGGTCCCTTCCTCCTCCTCCTCCTCCTTTTCCTCTTGGTAGGAAGGAAAGGGAGTGACTGACTTTCCCCCCAAGGCTTTCTGAAAACCATTTTTAAAGAGGTCAAGAGACAGGAATGGAAAATTTTATTCCTCCGAAATCTGGAGAGTGAATGGCAGGGCACAATCGCTCAATCCCATATGTGTCCAATCACACTTGGCCAATAAAATATTCTGTTATTCTGAAGAGCTGCCTGTCTTCGATTTCAAGACTGCAGTGGCCACCCTCCCTTAACTCAAAGAAGGTTTCTCTCTCTCTCTCTCTCTACTCCAGGTATGAAATCCAAGATTTTTCAGGTGTACCTAATCGTTCCAATGAAGAGGTATAATAGCTATGGAAATAATCACCCTATAGCGCCCACTAGTGTCTCCTAAATAACATGGCAACGATTACATTGCAGTATAATATCATGATCAGAAAGCAGCTTAAGTAAGCTTTTTAAAAAATTTAAAAATTAAAAAAAATTTGTTAAGCCACAAAAAAAGGTGCTGCGCCACTATTCATGAGTTTCGTGGTGTTTCCCAGCCTTTGGGACTAGAAGAGGGGTCGATTTCAATTCCCAGAATTCCCCAGCCAGCAGGCTGAGTCCAACACATCCTAAAAGTACCGATGGAAGAGGATATTTGTAGCTCAGGGTTGAGCTGTGGGGGCCCTTGATGCTCTCTCTGAGCTTGGTGGCTTTCTTGCAGACGTTTCATGACCCAGCTAGGGAACATCATCAGTGCTGGAAGGGAAAGGCATTTGCAAAAGAGAAGGGGAAGAGGAGGAGGAGGAGAAGAAGGGAAGAGAAGGAGGAGGAGGAGAAGAAGGGAGGAGGAGGAGGAGGACTGTAAGGTCCTTGGTGCTCTCTGGGCTTGGTGGTTTTCTTGCAGACGTTACATGACCCAGCTAGATAACATTATCAGTGCTGGAAGAGAAAGGGATTTGCAAAAGAGAAGGGGAGGAGGAGGAAGAGAAGAAGGGAAGAGGAGGAGGAGGAGAAAGGAAGAGGAGGAGAAGTACTTTGGGATCCTGGGTGCTCTCTGAGCTTGGTGGTTTTCTTGCAGACGTTACATGACCCAGTTAGGTAACATCAACAGTGCTGGAAGGGAGTGGGGTTTATGGAGAGGAGGAGGAGGAGGAGGAGGAGGAGGAGGAGGACGACGACGACGACGACTGGAGGAGCTTGGTGCTCCCGGAGGTTGTTTCCTTGCAGACATTTCATAACCCCAAAAGGTAACAGTGTCAGTGCTAGAAGGAGTGGGGTTATAGACATAGGAAGCAAACCCTTCTCCCTCCTAGCATTGATGATGCTCAGTGTTGGGTCATGAAACATCTGCAAGAAAACCCAACCAAGCTCAGAGAACTCCAAAGACCCCCACATCTTAAAAAGTCCCCAAGATTTTAAAAAAATAAAATAAAAATTGATGCCATAGATGAACGTGTTTCCCCAGAGAATCCCAGGTCTTCCAGCATGGGACCCTCCCTCCGCCCCAAAGGAGACCTCCTTCCTCTACGCCAGAGTTCCCCAACCACCGGGCCCCGGACCGGTCCCGGTCCGTGGAACATTTCCTACCGGGCCGCCGGTTTGCTGGGCGCCGCCATCTTGTTTTGACGAGAAAGTGCTTCCGGTGAGCTTTTCCGGTTGGAAAGCGGCGTTTGGGTCCTGAAGGAATTCTCGCGCCTTAGTTTCATCGAAGGGGGGGTGACTTCCAACGAAACTAAGGCGCGAGGATTCTTTCAGCACCCCAGGCAAGGCGAGCCAAGCGACCGTCCCCAAGCGAAGCCCATCGACAAAGGAGGAGTTGAAGGTGGCGGGGAGAAGCGGGGGACGGCTGGCTGGCCGGTCGCTCGGCTCGCCTTGCCTTGCCATGCGTGCTGATGCCGGTACCGGGCCGCGGATCATTTTGTGATGCCGGTACCGGGCCGTGGCACAAAAAAGGTTGGGGGCCACTGCTCTACGCAACGGGCCCCCTTCAGCTCACCCCCAAGACCTGTGATGGATTGATTTATTTTTAAACCAGCACCTTACGATCGCCTCTTCTTCAAGGGAAAAGCAGGCCAAGGGCAGAGATGGAGAGAGAGAGAGAGAGAAAGAGGCTTCTGTTCAGGGGCCGGCGGGGTGTGTGTGGTGGTGTCTGTACGCTCCACCTGGCTCCTTTCAGAAGTTCTATTTTGGGGTCCCCCCGATGGATTAATTAGGAAGCGAGAGTTCTGCGCCACGCCGAGCGCTTGCCCGGGGGGCCCTGGGGGACGCAATCAACGAGAGCCACGCGCAAGCGAGCCCACTCAGGCAGGAGCGCTTTAATGATGAGCGGAACGGGACCAGCCGTCAGCACCATCCCTGTGCTTCCCCGGGACTAATCAGGGTTCTCAAAACAGCCCAACATGGCCAAGACTTCGTTTCGGAGTTCAGGTTTCGCAGCTGGCGAGGCCTCCCTGGCGTACAGGCGGTCCTGGGCTTAGGGCCACAGCGGAGCCCCGTTTTTCCTGCTTTGGCTAAGCGGGACTGCCGTTGAGTGAGGTTTTGCCACCCCTTTGAGGTCCTTCCTGGCCATCACTGGTTCGGGGAACTGTTGCAGTTGTTAAGTTAGCCACCACACAGGATGTGAAGGGAATTTGGCTTCGGAGGGTCAGGAACCGACGCGTATTTGTCTATTTAGAAAAAGGTGTATTGCCGTCTGCCCTCACAGGGCGAGTCCGGGAGGCTTATGAGGACAAGTAGAATAAAAGCACAGTAGAAAGGAGAAAGGAAGGAAGGAAGAAGGGAAGGGAAGGGAAGGGAAGGGAAGGGAAGGGAAGGGAAGGGAAGGAAGGAAGGAAGGAAGGAAGGAAGTAAGGAAGAGGGGAGGAAGGAAGGAAGGAAGAAAGAGGGGAGGGAGGAAGGAAGAAAGAGGGGAGGAAGGAAGGAAGGAAGGAAGGAAGGAAGGAAGGAAGAGGGGAGGGAGGAAGGAAGAAAGAGGGGAGGGAGGAAGGAAGGAGGAAAGGAAGGAAGGAAGGAAGGAAAGAAGGAAGGAAGGAAGGAAGAGGGGAGGAAGAGGGGAGGAAGGAGGAAAGGATGGAAGGAAGGAAGGAAGGAAGGAAGGAAGGAAGGAAGGAAGGAAGGAAGGAAGGAAGAAAGAGGGAAGGAAGGAAGGAAGGAAAGAAAGAGAAGGAAGGAAGGAAAGGACGGAAGGAAGGAAAGGAAAGAAGGAAGGAAGGAAAGGAAGGAAGGAAGGAAAGGAAGGAAAGAAGAAAGAAAGAAAGAGGGGAGGGAGGAAGTAAGGAAGTAAGGAGGAAAGAAAGAAAGAAAGAAAGAAAGAAAGAAAGAAAGAAAGAAAGAAAGAAAGAAAGAATGAAAGAAAGAAAAAAGGAAGGAAGGAAGGAAGGAAAGGAAGGAA